CATGAAGGACGAACCCCTTGATTACGGTCATCATTGGCATAAGGGCGAATGACAAGGATGGGGTTAGGGATCCTCGTCATTATGTTGGTATCTAGTACAGGTTTAACCTTAGGGTTAGCATGTGTATATACACATACACACATAAATTAAATGTACATACACGCATAAGGGCACGTCCGACAACAAGTCCGAGAAGATCATATGTTACAATGAGAAAAGGGGGTGCCATATGCAATATGATGAGGTAAACAAACAAATGCTGGTATCATCCCTAAAACATCTAAGGGCCGTCATTTGGGCAAAAGGGTCGCAAGAATTCAGAATGAAGGCTTCTGCCGATATACATATGCTGTCTCCTCGGAACTTCAAAACCTAACGTTACATCTAGATCAACCTAGGAGGATTGGTGGCGCTCTCGCGCACCTCGGTAGTTCTTGGCAGGGGGGTAACATATATATATATAAATAGACTTGTACATGTATGTATATATTGCACATGTATTGGGCCCAGCGGCACTTGAGTAGACCAGCCAAGCGAAGAACACAGAGAACAGCCATCTCGCATCCTTAGCATCTCTCGTGAAGGGCCATTCAAAGCTAAAACACAAAGCTGCTATCAGGAAAAGGAATAGGGCCAGTGTACGATTTAAGGTGCTGCTACGATAGTGGCATTTACCGACGGGGAACCCAGCATTGTTTGCATGCGTCCTGCGTGGGGAGGAAGTGCCACGCCAGCGACTCTGTCCTGAAGACAGGCTAGAAAAGGTTGTAGACTCGGGGCCCAGTAGCCTTGCTAGCGTCTCGAATGTGGAAAGAAGCTCCAAGTACCCTGTCAGAATGTTGGGGATGCTTTCCTGGCAAAGGGGATTGGTCTCGAGTTTTCGCCTGTCGAAAGGCGTCGTCGAATGTTACTGTTATTCCTGCAAGTCCAGAAGAACGACGACTCATCTTGAGCGCATGGTCATGGTCAGCATGATCGGCCACAAGTTCACACAGGTTTCGGTCACATCCAGGTGCAACTTGCTGCGCACCTGCGTGTGTGACCAGTGTAGAGGCGCCAGAGTCGGAAGGCCCTTGGCGAGGAGCAGTGTAAGTAGTATTAATGTTAGTAGTCGCGGTTGTAGTTGTAGTTCTAGTTGAAGAAAGTAGCAGTAGTAGTAGTAGTGGTGGAGTGGCAGAAGCCGTGGCAGTGGAAGTAGCAGCAGTAGTAGAAGGAGTATGTGAGAAGCAGTACTGTAGCAGCGGCAGTACGTAGCAGGAGGACGATACCATCTCGCTCATCCATGTCAGCATCAATACTGCCATTTTCACTAATTACCATGTCGGCCATCATGATTGAGGCCACCGTGGCAAACACAATTGAGACAGTTGTGGTCGTCTTTGTCAGGAATGTTGTGATCATCGCCATCGTCATGTCAATAACACCGCTACCACCACCAACGGCATCAGCTACGTGTTCAGAATCAGCATCACGAACACCTCCATTAAGCAACATGTATCGCGGCTTTCACGGTCTTCATCATTATACCCCCACCCACTATCGTCAGCATCACTGCGATCACAACATGATCAATGTCAACATGGTCGTGATCATGTTACGTATCCTCACGACCCCCTCTTTGCTGTATCATGCAGACAACACTTTGCCAGTTGAATAGTGCATCCCTGTCAAGTAAGTCCGCAGCAGTTTGAGCACGTCTGCGCCTAACGGGCATCGAGAGGCAAGTCGAGGCCCCGAGATCTACCAGTCTACACCATCCTGACAAGGGATAGAGAGCTTCTCCGAGAAGCACCAGCTTACCAGTCTCCTATTACCCGGCTAGGTGCATTTATATAAGCCAATGACTTGGCTTCACTCTGAAAACGGGGCTAGCATTCTACTGCGATCCTATCAGGGGGTACGATTACAATGGTTCCTTTTTGTTGAACCACCTTTTGCTCACACTAGCACCTTGCAAGGACCAACGAGGAAGGAGTCCTGCCTTCTCATATTCACAAAGGAATTTTAAGTTGCAATAGCCCCGAAATCACGAATCGTGCAAACTCCAGAAGTGCCGTTCGATGGCGATGAGTGATGTCGATGATGATGAATATGAACTGATCTTGCCAATTGCTGTTGCAAGACACATGGCCAGATTTGGAGGAACTGCTGCACTGCTGTCTGACATTGCCATTGTGATTCCTTGCGTGTAGCAATGTTACCATTCCCAACGCTTGGCGGGTCATGCGCTATGTGGCCATGTATGCCGTGTTGGAACTCTGGTGTTTCGTTTCGCTCTCACTCATGCCGACGGACGTCATCAAGCACAAATTCAGGATCCTGTCTGACAATCCAGGCAGACCCCAGAGTAGCAGGCTGCTGTCTGGGGGGGCGGCACTTCTTGAGAGCACGGCGCAGAAATTCCATGGTATTCAATGCTCCCCCCCCCCCCCCCCCNNTTATTTAGGCCCCTATATTACCCCAGCCTCCCATGACGAAGCCGGCAGTGCTCAGAGCCAGGGAGCCCCGAGTCAGGCGCCCCAGGACCTGCACTCTGCTTCTTGAGACGGGGGGGGGGGGGGAGTTCTATGAAGCTCGGTGAGAGAATCAGAAGTCTGTAAATTGAATTGTGTGCTGTCACTTCCCCATTATCTTTCGGTTGTCAAAGGAGCTTGGGGTTGAAAGCCCTGGGTTTCAGTACTCGGCTGAAGGCTCTCAAAGGCTGAGCTTCAGCTCCACGTCTCTGTTTGGCGAGCTATAAAGATTTATAAAGAGCAGATCCAGGCTGCTCGAAGGTACCTTCGAGAAACCGGGATTGGATCGGCTTTAGGATGTCATCTTCATTACTGAATGTGCGCCGGAGCCGCTAACTTTCTCCTCCGGATTGCTCAAGAAGCCCTTTCAACACTGGCTGAAGCATCGCAGTAGGGGCAGAGGGCCAAGTTCACCCCTGGACCCCCAGCCGCAAAACACGAAAGACAAAAAAATCAAGATTCCCCTCAACCCTAGTCAAGGAGCTGGCTAGGCAAACATGTGCTGAAGCCTTTTCCATCTCGCAGGTCTGATTCATCTGCGCCTGGCTGGACATGGCATCCGCTTGAAACTGGATCGAGGAATCCGGGTGGATGCTACCTTTTACCGTTTCATTATCGATGCTTTGCTCGGGCGGACGACAACTCCACCTGTGGTGTCCTGGACCTTTCAACGATCTTAAGGCGACAGCCCATCGAAAGTGGCCTTCATCTGGGCGGCAAGAACTAACAAGAAAATCACATGACTCCTTTCATTCTGAAGCTGGTAGATCAGGAGGAAACATGCTTTGTAAGATCTCCGCAAACATCCCTTCCCTGCCCAAGTTGCCTCCAGACGACATATGGGCGTAGTCTAGGCCAGCTATAAGGCTATAACTATAAGCCAACCGTTTCGACTCTCACACTCGCACCAGGCAGAGGGTTTGGGGATTTAGGCCAAAACCCCATATAGTTTCTAGTCTCCATGATTTTCTTCACGTGGCCTGGCACACGGCGCCAATCCTCTCACTCGTAAACGCATACAAGTATACACTCTGCCCCGGTGTCTAAAGGACTGGAGTTCGTACAGAATCCAAGACAGAAGCTGTGATGATAAGCCTCCAGAAAAGAGTGAGCTGAATATTTTGAGACACTTAGAAACTCCTAGAACCACCACCGAGTCTATGTTGCACCTGCCAGAGGTAGAAGAACCTGAGATGACTCCGCAACAGCAGTTCTGGAGCCAGGCATAGCTTTCAGTGCTACTGTAGAATTTCAATCTGATGGTAATGCAGCAACTGGCGTGGTCTGAGACCCTTGCAAACCCAGAACTGCTGAAATAACAGATCTTGCGCTGCATCTCTGCTGCAGGGCTGCTCCGCAAGATCGTAGGGCCGTGCTCGGTCGGAAACGCGCCGGACAGCAAAGCGTTTTGTGCTGTGATCCTCAAGCACTTGTCTCAAATTTCTGATCGCCCCTACGGAAGCCACTTGAAAGTCTTAGGGCATGAGGGGTGAGGGGCTTGATCATCTGTCACATCCGACAAGACCCGCCCTGCCCTGGCTAGCTTTGCAGGTCCTGCAGCTGCCGCAACCAGCCTGGGATGCTGTCTGACGGTCTGGATCTGTCTGACTGCTGGACTTGACTCCCCAGGCCATAGAAGAAATTGCAGCCACCAAGAAAGAACCCGCTAGTTCAGGAAAACCTGAAAGGCTAGCCAGGAGACCACAGAAAGCAGTGAAGCGTAGCCAACGGTTTTCGGAGGCCTGTCATGCATTGCGAGGGGTGGCGATGAACTGGCGCAGAATTTTTAGGAGATCCTACGATTGCGGATTTCAGCGATGCCCTCTGACGACCCTCGAGAGCTGGCAGGCCCTTATATCCTAGGGCCTCTCAGTGGGTGTAGGGCACGAAAACTTGCAGAGTTGCTCTGCCTGAGCTTCCCTTGGGTAGTCTTGGAATCCAAAAACCGAAACTACAGTATCTCGCTCAGTACCTGCGAAAACTTCGACTCTGCATGACGACCAGGGACGACGACGGCTGGGACAGATACTTCTGCTTATGGGATCATAATGAATATCGATTAGATTGCCACAATTGGAACTACAAGTTCAAGTGGCATTAACAGTCCAAAAGGGACAAAGAGCGCAACAGCAGCTACTGCAGTTGATGAACCATCCTGGACCTCAACACAATATTGCAGCAGCTGCAACCGCAATGAGTACGACCTGCCTTTTCCTGTGGACAGCCATCGATCCGCGGCCAGTCCGAAACCAGGTGCTCCTTATACGCCTCCGCTTGGACTCTAGATTCACTCTACATCGTCCGGCCGGCCATCGATCCGCAGCCGGCATCTGTACACAGGTCGAAAGCGGCGTTTGCTGCAGGTCATTAAACGTCGATGGGGTTGTCCCACCTCTGTACAACAAAATACAAGAAGACCAACTCGGCAAATTGCTGGCATGTGTCGTGCAAGATTCCCAGACCTGCCGGGATACTTTATGAGAGTCTTTATGAGTCGCTTGCATCATCCTGCATCGATTCTGCAGTTGCCTCGTAAGACGCAGCCGCCCGGAGTGGCCGCATGATACCATCACACCAGAGTGGCCCTCCTGGGCGTGGGAACACACGGAAGGCCAAGTTCTCTGGGGATGGTGAAGCACCCCCGGCCTCACAACTGGCCACCATCGTGTAGCCCGGGATGCCTTCGAGTCGGAAGTGGATCAACATCGAAGCCAAGAAGGTCTTGGCTTCGAAGAGGGCAAACTGGCTTCCGATGCAAGCACGACTGGCAAAGCCCCAGGGATGATAGGCATTGGGATGTCGCTGTCTCACCGCCTCTGGAGAGAAACGAGCTGGATTGAAGCTCAAGGGGTCTCCAAACTCACCACCCCAGTAGTCTGGGTTCGTATGCAGGGCACGGGTCACCAAGTTGATCCTCTCACCCTGGTAGACCCGATGGCCTCCCAGCAGCGTATCATAGGCCACGTCCCGCGTGATGGTAGTCACAGGGCTGTAAAGCCGCAGAGCCTCGCGGAAACACTGCTCCACAAACTGCAGCTTGGGCACGTCGTCCACAGAAGGCTCTTCACGGCCCTGCAACACTTGCCTGACCTCCTCCAACGCTCGTTCCTCGTAGACGGGATGCTCCGCTAGAAGCTGCAGTGTGAAACCCAAGGTAGCCGCCGTGGTCTCGTGCCCCGCAATCATCAAGTTCACAATGTGGCCATACAGCGCGCCGAATCGAACATGTTTGCCATCTGCACCTGAGTCGTTCAGCATCGTGGCAATGATGGAATTGTCACCCAGCTCGCCTCTTCGGGTTGCCTCAACGAGATTCTCCACTTGCCTTTGCATCTCCTTCTTGCTGGCTTGGTACCTCTTTTGAAGCTGACCTTCTGCATCGAAGAATGGCAGGAACCGCTTGAGGCCATACTCAGTCTGAGCCGTGATGCTTCCGATGGATACCCCTAAGCCAAACCGGAAGGTCTCGACAAACTTGTGAGGTGTCTGCTTGGAGCCCAAACGTTCCACATTCTGCATGTCCATTCCCATGCTGCAGGAGACGACGGCATCTGCTGTCATGGCGGTCAGCCATTCATTGACATCTTCAACCAGCTGCCCAGCTTCAAACTTCGACCACTCTCCCACGAAGGCGCGCGTCTTGGCCAAGATCTGTGGTGCGAAGCTCTTCACCTTGATTTGGTTGAAGCCACGAGGGAGGAGACTGTGGCCTGTCTTCCAATCCTCTGACTGCTCGCTGCTGGTGAACAGCCCATTAGCCGTGAAGTCCTTCAGAGCAGGAAACAATCAAGAGGCTGGCGATGGTAGGAAGGCGGCGATGATAGATATGATGCTCCTGCTGATGACGACGAGCACGATAAGGATGGGGAAGGCTACACAATATTGCTCGCGCCCTGGGTGCCGATGACGAAACTGACAACGTAGTAGGTGAAGATTAGAAGAATAAGACTCCAATCAAAACAACGACGACGACGAACATGACGGCGATCCCAGACATGTTCATGATGAGGATGATGATGATGATGATGATGTAAACGGTCTGGAGCTTCAGAGTTGCTGAGGCTGCGCCAATGGCTGAGGGTGCTTGGAGTTTGGCGACACAGCGGGGGCGACAAAGAGTACTCTATGGCTGGACGAACCCATCGCATGGTTCTAGGATGCTCCATCCTCAGAAGCCGCGCCTGCAACCCGACCTCAACATCCCGGTTCCAAAGCTTGGGGAAATCTGCTGCTCTTGACACCAGCTCTTGGATGATGCTGGCATCGGCAGTCATGGTCTCGGTGTATTGAGCATCCTCGTGCAAGACGGAGGTGCCGAACCCTCCGACACTCTGCTTTTGACCAGCGTGGCTTCGAACAGTGGAACCATAGGGATACTCGCCACTTGTGGGAAAAACGTTTCGGGCGAAGTTATACTCCGGAATCGGATAAGGTCCATTGTTCTGGTAGCTGGTGCCCATGACCGGTAAGCAAATGCCGCACGTGGGGAAGGCTTTGGGCCCCTCTGGCACATCTGACGGAAAGGGTGCCTCCCTTGCAAAGATCAGCTGAATCACCTGTAGATGCTCTGGTTGCAGAGCTGAAAGCAGAAGATCCAGGCTTCCAACTTCCAGCAGGCGATCCCCGAGCTTCACACACACTCCATCCACTGTCTTCCGCTGCACTGGATAGAACCCGAACTTCTCCATGTCTTCTGGAAACTGGCTTTTGCCCAAAGCCACGACGGTGGCTTCATGCAAGTCCTGTACCTTCGCAGTTTTGGGCAGCTTCACCAACTGCCACACTGCACCGGATGGGATCTCGGAGCAATGCACTGCCAGGTGATACTCAAAAGGGGACGAAGCAGCACGTCGTGCTGACTCCTTCCTTGGCAAGGCAGATCACGCTTCGCTTCCCCCCCTATTACGGCTAACAAGAGGCCTCTACCATTGGCCAACATATCTCGCAGTGCTTACCAGCTTACGCTTCCTGTCTCCATGTGCGCAGGGGACGCCTTTGACCATGACAGTGTTGCTCTCGAGAAAAGCTACGCTAGATTATTCTGGACGGTACGGTGCTGAACTGCACGTGACTAAACTCTACTAGCTTTGCCTAAGGCATACTCATGTTTACAAGACCAAATTTCCAAAACTATCCTACACTATCTTAAAATGTATACTAAGTACACTAGCCCAAAGGCTGCCTATACTCTACTCTACTCTACTCTACTCTACTCTACTATGTCATGCTATACTGAACGAACTGTCTATACTAAACCAGACTAGACTATACTATACTGTTCAAAACTATACTCCAAAATGCTACAGTATACTACGTATACGATACTATACTATACTATACTATACTATACTATACTAGACTATACTACTATGAACTATACTATACTACACTACAATATACGATACTATATACTAGACTAGACTATACTACACTACTATACTAAAGCACACTGGACTCTGCGAGACAAGACTAGAAGAGACTTCTATTAACACTATATACAACCCCTACGACGTTACCAAACCGACACAGTTACTACAATGTTATTCCGTACTATACCGCACTACACTCTACCATATTAAACTACACCATTCTATACTAAACGATATTGGGCTACTGAACCACACCATACGATATTGTACTATATTATGCTACCCTATACGACACTATACTTCACTACACTACACTAGACAGGACGAGACTGGACTGGCCATACTATACTCGCTATACTGTACTATACTGTACTAAACTTCCAGACGAAACAACAATGTACTTATCTATTCTACACTTTGCGGGACTATAGTCAACTGTACTTACGATTCTTTATCTGACCATACTGCACGATATTGTACCTCACTAAACATGCTGTGCTTCCGTAGGTAGGAAGGTAGGTAGGTAGGTCGGTCCGTCGGTGGGTGGGTGGGTGGGTGGGTGGGGGTGGGTGGGGGTGGGTGGGTGGGCAGGCATGTGGGTGTATAGTATAGGTGATGATTCAAGGATTTCTTTATTCATGTATATGTTCCATTACATCCTGTTACTTCTGTGTAAACATGGAGCTTGATCATGTTGCATGTCCTGCCGCAGGATTGAACGCTTGTTCGGGTTTTTTTGCGAACAGGGCCGGGCCTCGTTTTCTCGTGGCTTCATGGCATGAGATCAATTGGTACGGTATATACATGTAATCTGGACTGCAGTTGCAGGCTTTGCCATAACAGCTTCAAGCGTCACTATTTGGTCTGCCAAGCTAGGAAGATGCAAGGACAAGCATCCTGCATGCAACCCCAACCCCTCCAAGGAGCAGATCAGTGATTGTCGATGGATTTTGCGGATACTTCTTTTCCGAAGCTTGTGCTGGGGTAGTCTGGAAACTCTGAAATGCGAATAGGAACAGGACTACTAACACTGTAGTTTCCTGTATACATAAATACTGTAACTAACGATATATATATATATATGTGCAGAGACACACACATTTTCGAATCTCAGTGCCCGAGTGTCAAGGACTTCTTCAGCGTGCCAGAGGCCACCATCAAGGCAGTGGCCCCCAAGGCCATGCCACCTGCCAGCTTGAGGATCTGCGAGTCTTTTGCCGCCATTGCAGGAATGCAGTCGCGGTCGCTCGGAAACCTTTCAGGGCAAACCCCGTTGAGCAGAGTCGTTGCTGCGGCAAACACCTTGAAATTGGGAGCACGCGACACAGACCATCGGACGAGACACGGATGGTTCCGGAATGTAGGACCTCAAGCAACAGAGGCCAGTGTTGCTTTAGACCAGGGCAAATGCAATGTTCCGCGCTCGGACTTCCAAATCAAGGCCTACACGCCTCCCACGAGGCATCACGAAGATGATCAAACAGCTAATGGTCGTGGTAAAGCATGAAACAGTAGTGATCAGAAAACGTATGAAAATAATCTGCGCGAACTAACTATTAGTTACGAGATACAACTCATCACAATGATAACGCTAAGAACTGAGAACCAAACATGGAAAGCAATGGTGCAGGTTGCCTGCCTGGCACTTGGCGATCGTGAACATCCTTACGCCGGAGATTCTCATCCAGGTGGTCAGACCCCGCCTGTGTGACCTAGTAAGTGCTCCGAAGCCATGATCGAGAGAAAAAGAGAGAGACAAAGGCGGGAAGGTAAGTGCTCCTGTCATGAAAGCACAGGCTACTTACCGGGCGCCTTGTTCGTTGGATTGCAAACTCTGTCCGAATCCGGTGTCCTTGTCAACTCCATACGCTGACAAACAGCTGTCCACATGTCCTGCAGCGGAAGCAATGAGGCTAATCGCGGCATGGTTGCCCAAGTGCAGGCTATGGACTGAGTCTTAGTTTCGCGGAGTCGCGCTTGCTTGTTTGCCCAGCAGAACAGAAGAGGCGAGTTTCGCCGGGGATGTTGCTGAGCACATATTTGTATGGTGTTGCACTACGCTGCACAGTATCGAGCTAACTGAAGCCGACAGCCCCTCTGCCAAGACTGCTCCTGCAAAGCAACCAAAGCGTCCCAAAGTCCAAGCGCGAAGTCAACAATTCAGTGCCTTGTGCTTAGTCACGCTTAGTCGCATCTCCATAGACCCCTCAACAACCGGAATAAAGCCCATCAGACTCTATGAACCCCAACAAAAAAGCATAAGCCCACCAAAGCAAGAACACCTACCTATAAGAAACGACCTATAGAATCTTCAGGAGAACCCTTACGGTCCTCGGCTTCGGCCATGGCCTTGGTCATGGTGAAAACGGCCGCCTGGTTTGAGGAGAGGGGGGGTTAAAAGCTGTTCGGTCGCTGTCGCGTGACTATCAAGAGAGTTTCTGCGGGTTTCTGCAATTTTGCGTGCGAATGTGGAGATCTTTGCAGAAAAATTGCGTTTAGTTTCAGAACCAGAGTTGGCGTCTTCGTGCAGTTTCTTTGTGGGGCAGTCGTTATGTTCACGGGTTTGGTGTTTTTCCGGTCACGGAGTGTAGACTCTTCGTTGGGGCCTTCGCGAGTCCTTGAGCTTGTTTAGTTCAGTTTCTCTGCGTTTTTGAGGCCCATTTTGCAAGTATCCTAATTAGCAGCTACAACAAGCAAGCTGCACGCGGAGTCTCCTCGTGGAACACCATCTTATTCGAAGGACCCCTTGTTTGTCTCGTTTGTTTGTAAACATTCGATCTTTTCTTATGCATGGAACTCTAGTCGTCGGATGGCGTAGTGACCGGGTAGCGGGTGGTGGAAGATGGACCTTGAGTCTACCGGTATATAATGATCAGTAGAATCTTGCGATACAGGATAGTTGCGCGTTGGGGCTTGAGATGTAGGCTTGGCGGTGGGGGAACAAGATCTCGGGCTTCGCTTCCTTGACCATGAATTGCCATGGGTGCACCCCGTCCACATGCCCAACCCGCATGATGCCTTCGCCTGATCCTGGAGGATCATGCGGCTGTCGTAGATTCTCTCCTTGATGCATCGCCGGCCAAACTCCCAAGGAACTCCAAACAGCCACAACTCATGGGCATCAAACTGACTTAACTTACCGGCATATCCAACATGGCGTTCGTTTTGGCGTCCGTGCTGTGCCGGGCTGCTTCAGTCCCAATGCTTAGATGAAGGTACGAACGACATTGACACTGTTTATCAATTCGATGTAATCATGGTCGTGTTCATATACTCGAAGTAGTCACCAGCAGAGTGTAACGTGGATAACACTCACGCCAGAAGCAACGGGACCAATCGTAGCAATGCAGTGTGTGTGTGTGCTTGGCAACAATGCTCGTAGTCATGATTCGCAAAAACCAGAATTGGTGAAAGCAGCCAACGTGTAGTCGCAAAAATGATGCTACCAGTCGAAGTCACAAAACGTTGTAAACTCCCGAACCGGCAGATTCTCCTCCTCGGAGCGCGGATCTTGGTCGTCTTCCTCCTGGTGGACAGCTGGCGACCGTCAGAAAAAAGGTCCGTTCAACGGGGAAAGGTTGGGGGAAGACTCTACCATCATTGTGAACACACACTGCTGGATATTGAAGGTGCCTACCGCGAGTCACGTCGAAAGACATTGTTGTCATGATGGAATCTAAATACCACAGTGATGGTGTCATGATCGCACAAGCGAGAACGCCTGCGACAGTAATAGCTGTAGCATCTTTGAACTTTCATGGTATAGATGCACAGGTTTTGGCTCGGAAGACCGAACCTGAACGGTGACACTTCGCAATCTCAAAGGAACCAGTCTCATTCCGATTGCGTAACGGCCACTACATGTCTGGTACAAAATTTCGCTTCATGTGCTGAAAGCTTATACAAAGGGATGCGACGTACAGAAAGCGTTGAAGTGCATCTACCATTGCACCTCACGAAGGCTGGCGGGCAAATCGCTGGAAACAGGCGTCCCTTACTATGAGAGGCACTCGCTCCTCCCGATCTAGCTAGCTGACCACATCTCTGACATAAACTAACAAAATCTTTCCACCAGGAAGCAATTCAAAGACGTTGACCCCATAATCAGATACACAGTATAGTAGAGCAATTAGAAGATGCCCGACTACAGCGTGCTTCACTCGCACCTCCTCCTCGTCATCTTCCAGCCACCGACCGCACTGCACAGAGAAGCTATCTCGTTCCGCGTCTTCCTCAGCTTCGCTACGATGAGGCTGGGTGTTTTTGGCTCTCTTGGAGGGGAGAAACTCTTCAGGCCTTCAGTACGAGTTGTTGCAAAACAGCTAACTAAGCCCAAACAGCATCCATAGATATGAGCATAAAACTTTTCTGGGTTCTTGGGTGACCCGCCAACAAAAAGTCCACTCTTTTCTCTTGTTTTCAGGAATGGCTCCTACCAGACCAGACGGATTTCTTGCCCAAGCTTTCAACCCAATGCACAATGGACATCACGAACGCACTCATTTTTTCGCACGGCGCAGGCAACGCAGCCTGCATTGTGCATTGGGTTGAAAGTTTGGGCAAGAAATCCGTCTGGTAGGGGCCATTCCTGAATATCAAACCGACTCTGAACACGGAGCCTGCGTGAGCGAGCGGGATCATTCAGTGGGCGCACTCATACAAGGGCAGGCCACCCCGCCAGGCACAGAAACTGTCTTTTGGGGGGGGNNGGGTCACAGCAACCCCCCAACAACCGACTGTAGAGGGTAGAGTCGCCCCCGCTGCGAATGACGCTATTTTGCTAAGTCATTGAATGATCTTCAACATGTCAGAAATGGTCAGTGTCTTGTGCTGGGGCGGGGCCGAACCCCCGCGCAACCGACAGCGGTGGCAAAGAACTCTGTCGGTTGTAGTAGTCGACTATAACAAACGATTCGGAAGGCACCCCCGGCCCGAAACCTATCGGCCCGGCGCAGTACGTATTTATCATCAATATTCAAACGGATGAACGAATGGACGAATAAATGAATGAATGCATGCATGGATGTATGGATGACTGACTGACTGACTGAAAGAATGAATGGATGGATGATTGATGAACTAACGAACGAATCAATGAAGCAATTAATTTTGAGTAATGAACCAATTGCGTGTCTGTGTACGTATGCATGCACGCTGCTTCTACTTCCACTACTCCTTCTGATGCTAGTGTTGCTGTCGCTACGGAGTTTTGCAATTCTGCCAGGACAGGCTACAAAGTCAAAGAGCACCTGGCAGAGAAAACCGCGCATGCGCCGCAGAAATGCGCAGAACTGTAGCCCGAAACCTTGTTACTATGTCCCCGAACCTCTAACGTTATGCAACCCTCCGCGTGAGGCCGAGATACGATGAGAAATCGTAGCCGGCGTGGGGAAGACACAGATGGCAACTGCCAGGAAAAAGGCGAGCATTTTAGGCTCACTCAGAGCGGTTAGGCTTTTGGGCCTTAGGGTTGCGGGCTTAAGGGATGTACAGACTTGGCCTTGAGGCATCTAGCCCTAAGCAATCCTAGGCACATAGATGCAACAAATACGGTTGTCTATGCTTCTGCGACCACTGCTGTTGCGCACGAATACGGGGCTGAAACTTGCAGCACCTGCGCGAGCTGATCAGGCAACAGCTCTTGACGAAAGGGGGAATGGCAAAGAACATCTTTTGACGTGACATCCAGGCTGACTGCTTGAGAAGTCCCTGCACACGGCCACAAGCTGAGCCCAAATTGAATCCTATGATCGGACTGCCTTTGTCAACATCCGTGCCGCTTCCGCTGTCTCGCGATAAGCGCGGGCCTTTGGGTTGGCAGTTGAAGGGCGGGCTCCTGCTGATCCTTTCTCGCTTCTCCCTCTCCCTCAGCTCGCTCGGCTAGGGGCACGACTGCTTGTAACTCATGACTGCCTCAAAGCGTTACGATTTGCCTGCGTCTCCAGCATGCAGAGGGGCTGTACATACGGAGTTTTTGCTCTTGCAGATCAGCTTAGTGTGTCGTGTCGGTCAGCCAGTGCAGGAAAGACACCCATGCGCGAAAAGCTTTTCGAAGCAATCGAGGATGGTTAAAACGGTCCTTGGCTGGCAAACTTCTGAAGACATGCATGGGGAGGAATGACATGCATGCAGTTCCTACACCCGTCCACGCCTACAGCAGCACACGTCAGGCTTGTCAAGTCCTCAAATAACTCAACCCGGTGAAAATCATTCAACCAGATTATATGCGAGTCAAAGTGCCATCGTCCTCGTCCGAAGGGCTTCCAAAGCTGGCAGGGCGATGCTCTTGGGTGTGGGAGGTGTACCAAGAAACAAGTTGCATTGGGCAGCGGCGTGAGACTCAATCTCTCAACGTGTATGTCCGGGGACGATTCAAAAGAATGACGGACATGTCACAGCATTTTACAACATGTGGCTCGCAAACCAAAGCTTGCCTCGTTCGGCCTTGTCCCGATGCTTGTCCTTCGTGCTGCCACAGAAGAGCGGTGCTTCTGATTATTTTTTTCTACTGGCGTGTGGAGCAAACTTACAATACGCCGCGCAACATGAAATCGAATCATCGCTAAACTGGCAAGCTCCTGGCAAACGATCTCGGCTTGAAGATATGCGCGTTGGAGGCTCAGCTGAGTCCTTGAGTGCACAGAACAAGGCTCATGCATTTCCGGAGTTTCACAATTTCTCCGCGCCGAGCCACTGCAGTTTTGTCCGCTCAGCATCTTGCTCGGCGTGCCTCTGCTTCGTCGCACATTTTGCTTGTACTTTTTCTTCTTTCTTGAAGCACCGTTGCCGGCAATCTTACTACTTTGATACGATGCACGTCATTGCTAATAAAGCTGGTGCTACGCACACAAAAGACTCGTTACGTCTCCACTTTGATGGAATCGCAGTATATTGCAGTGCATTTCGGGCAAATAGGAAGGGGCCGCAATGCAGATTGCATAGTTTTGAGAGAACAACACATGTGCATGTGTATAGAAACAAATGACCACCTAAATTAATGAGTTCATGTGCGTGTATGCGTATATGTAGGTATGTATGTATATATATATATAGATTTGTATATATCTATGTGCAACGATACTTACCTAATTTTTTGTTGATGCAAGTTTTTCATTACGTGGTTCCTGTGAGCAAGGCATTTGCATCAGCAGAACTATCACACAAATACGCATGCTCACAACAAAATCCAGAGAAGAAGTAAGAGCTCTCTAGGAGGTGGTCCGGGCCAAGCGACACGGCATCCAAACTCAAGCGCAGCTGCGTGATGCCTCATCTTGAACTGAAGACAAGGCAACGTCGATTGTCGCACAAGGGATGTTGTGTGAGCCCGAACTCAGACTCTGAAACCGACACATATTCGTAGCGGCCACAGTCCCCTCCAGCTTGGAGCTACAAGCATCTGCTGCATGCCAAGTCACTCTCCGTAGCATTGTGGCGCTGCTGCACAAGCTGTTCGCGCAAGCGCTGAATCTGCGTCTGCAGCTCTCTCCTGTTTAGAGCCAAGCTTACCAAGAAGTGAGCTGTTCTATAAGATGCTATAATTTCGGAGTGTCGCGCACAAACCTCTCATGCAGAGTAGCAGTGTCCGGCAGTCCTCTCATTCGCCCAGCCTGCTGTGCAAGCATTGCCTGACCAAGCTGTCGCCCAAATTCAACCGACAGGGTCTAAGTAGCACCCCGGAGACACACGCACACACACACACATACATACCGATACCTACCTGGGTAAGTATGTACATACGTACATGTATACCTGCATCCATCCATCCATCATACATGCACCATGCACACAAACCCATACGCCTGATGCCAAGCGAGCCCAGCAGGATGAACAAGCGGAGAGACGGACATGCTCAACATTCAGCTTGACTGCGAAATCTACAAGCTGCAGCTCACCCTTTTGATCACCTGCTTGCGAGAAAGAGGTAGTCATGTAAAAAGATGTGTTCGACTGTCGTCGGCTCCCGGGACGCTACGCACTTGATGCTGTCATTACTACTCTTACGGATTCTAGGACAACGAGAAAAAGAAACTCCGCTTCCTGCACAGAGCGAGCGACTCGCTCAGTGACCTGGCACACGTTTTTGCCCTCCGAGCACCGACTCCGCATGGGCCACTCCGACCTTTGTGTTGTATATTGATTCCACGAGGCTCCCGCGTTCTGAAACCAAAACCCGAGCCTTGCACGTTGAATCCCTTCATGACCCAATTGCCTGGGGCTGGAGATGCACGGGAGGGCGCGACCTTCCAACACTTGCAACATGGAAAATCGGGTTTGCAATGCAGCAATCAGGACTGCGGAATGGATTGGTCCCAGAAGCCTCAATGCTTGAGACGTTGCAAGATTACACGGCCTGTGCCCTGCAAAGGAGCGGAGTGGAGTTTGCAGGAAAGCCGAGTTCACCCTAAACCCATAAACTCCGTGACTACATCCTTGCGCTGCTCAAGCTGCAACGCATTCTGTGGCCTTCATCGCACCCAGGCCGGCCACGGGAAGAGACGGACTGAGGGCCTCGTGGTGAAGCCATGCAAAACATCGCGCGGGCGTTCTACAGGGGTTAAGAAGGGCTTCTGTTGTTTTAATAAGGCTTTGTAGACAAAGGTCATACTCTACTCTGAAATAAACTAGGGACCCTTAGGAACACAAGCACCAACTGTATTCATGCCTCTCAACCTTTCTGTGTTGTTGCTGTGCCAAAACGGACTGGCAACTAGCTCCATCGTACACAGCCAGGCCTATCAATAAGCAGCAGAAAGCTGTCTTAGAAACAACTAGCAGATGTGTGTGGGTAGTTTCCGATAAATCAGGACCACTTTATCATACACACCCCAAGAGATCTACTAGCTTCACGTGCTCGAATTCCCGGCTTCCAAGTCGCGCTGATCCCTGGATGCTGAAAAACTAGGGGGCAAACAAAGTCGCAGCATCGTCGTTGTAGCAGAAGTGATGCTGGTGGTGGTGGTTGGTGGTGGTGGCAGCAGCAGCAGCAGCAGCAGCAGTAGTAGTGCGAATCCCATCTCAACGGACACATATCGTTTATTCCCCGAGGGAAGGATCCTTCAAGCCTTGAAGCCTCCTAACAAAATTGAGCCCTGTACCAAACTCCTATCAGACCCGATACCTAAATCCATGTCGTAACCCCTATTAAAGTAGCCCTTTTGTTGCAGCCCTTTTTATAAGCCATGGACCGTCAAGGCCCGAGTTTAACAACAAAAAAATACCGACAGGGGCCTCCCAGGAGGCGCCCAGCAGGCGCCTTGAAGCCTTGGAAGGGGCGGGTGGGTTTACGAAAAGACTTCTGCAATTACGGGGCGCTGCAAGGGGCTCTTTAAGGAGCTTGCCCTGGAAACTTCGGGGTTTCGTGGCTGATTGCTTGCGGAATGGGCAGTTAGCGGCGGTTAGTCGCAGTGCTGATTTCATGCACTGCTGGCAGGGGGATTTTACAAGCAGTGGCAAGAGGAAGTTGCAGGACCTCAGCAACGCTCTCACTCAGGTTGGGCTGCATTGGGACAGCACCAACCATCATTCCCAGGCACGCAAGCTTAAACATATACACCCGACAATACTAACTGCTTGGACTAAGTGCCACCTCATTGCTTACGTCAAATGCTTGTGTTGCTTGCACTGACAGTGGACCTCCTCTCTGTGTGAGTATCTGGGCTGATCGGCGGGGTGCGAAGATGCTGGAATCTGCTAGAATCCTGCTAGAAGGTGAGCCTCTGCAATCTCTCCGACATTCCCACAAAGCAGGATCTACAACATCCACCATCCTAGAACGCTAAACCCGCTCCGTGCCTGTCCGCAACCGTCCAGGTTCGCGTAGCCGACCTGCAGAACGACAGGAAGGCTCAGAAAAGAGAGTGTCTTGGATCAGCTGCCAAAACCACGAGAACTTCTGCGCGGACAAGTCTGAGCATGTCCAACGCACTGGCACCTTTTCACTTTTCATCGGGCTTCCATCTGCAGGTGAGATAGCTTCGAGATGTTCGAAATTGGACACACTCCATATGTCGCTGTGCAAGGCGAGCATATCCCAGAGCATTGGAGCCTCGACGATTCCAGCTGTGACTGTGATCGAAACGGCAGAAACAGGGAAGCAAAGGCTTCCTGAAGGGTCCACCTCTAGTAAGTCCAGGTTCTGCGGCCTAAGCTGCCATCGCCGTGCGGTACATTGGCATTCTCCCTCCCTCGATCCGTGAGGATACTTTTTAAGGGGCAGAAGCTGCCCTAACTCACGGGCAGGGGCCGGCAAGGGCTTCCAACTTCGCAGATTCAGCTGAAGGGAGTTTACTCTTGGGTGCGTGTAAGTAAACCAGCCAGGCTGGGGAGAGGGCACGCTGATGCAAAACACGCACCTGGCATGATCGACTCTTGTGCGTAGTTTCGCCAGGTTGCTGTACAAGAAGCCAAAGTGAGCTGGGCGCATGCCAGACTCGGGATTCCACATGCAAATCCATGAATTTCAAGAACATGAGCTGTGATGGCAGGCATCCCGCAAAACTCGGGCATTGGACATGCCGAGCAGGATCTCTGCCATCGAGATAATCTCCAGAATCAGCCCCTAGCCGAGTGATCCCTGGCAAGGGGTCACTCATAAAGTGGTTTTGTGAAGGGTCTTTGTACTGCCTGAGCGTCAGCAAGAATCTGCTTCAGCAATTCCCACGCTAGGTGCAGATTCCAGCGGGAAGTGCGGGAAGGAAGATGCCGAAAGGAGCCTTCATCACGATGGGTAACCCAAGAGTGCGTCTTATCGCCCATCCAGCGAAACCGTCAATGAAAGCCACCTGTCACCGAAACAAGATCAATCAACCAGAACCTGCCCCACTTCCGCAAACAAGAGCGTCATCTGTTCGGCAGCCATTGGCTACGATTAGGCTACGCTGTCTCGTGGCTAAGTCGGAGTCACATTTGGCTTGTCCGCCACGATACCCATGGATAACCTGACGGCACACAACCAGCATCCGGTCATGTACTTAGAACTTATGCTCGCAAGCCTTGCCGGGTAGTCAATCGCTTCAAGCTCTGACCCGAGACACATCATGGCAGAAGCTGTTCTGAAGCGACCAGCCTGCTAGATTCTTCAGAAGATGCGGCATACGTGCCTGTTCGCGAGTAAAGGTGCTCGTCGAGGCTTCGAAGGAAAGATTACCATGTGTGGAAGTGGACACACAAGCTGCAGAAGAACAAAAAAGCCCAGGCGAAGCTCGGTGCGGAAGAGAAGATCGACTCACTCCATCAGAGGACGAGCACAGGAAGGAGCATAAGGTAGTTGTTCAGTGCGGCAATGAAGCTCTGGTTGATGATGCCAGTGCACATTATCGTCAAGTACTCAGCCATCCTCATCATGATGATCATACTGATCTGAAACCAGCTCCATAACTCCCTAAGCTCTAGGCCGTCGAACCCAAGCACCCGATCTCCCCCCCCCCAGGGCCTTTGCCGAGGCACCCTGGCCTTCCTCGGCTCTGCCTCGGCTCTGTTTAAGGTGTAAGCCATCTTTTTGGAACATCACTATCCTCATGCCCGGCAGGTGTAGAGTAAAGGGAATGCCAGCACTAATTCAACTTTCCGTCTGGCCTGTGGGGCTCATGAGGTCTCGAGGCTCCGTGGCCTGAAGGCCCCGAGGTGCGGAGGATGCTTGAAAAGCAAGATGGGGGCGAAGGGCTGCAGACCGTGGATACGAACCCTTACCGAGGCAGCTGCGAGACTAGGAATGGGAAACGAGCTAGCAATAGCAAGCATGGCAACGACCGTGACAGCAACTAAACAAGGTTTCATCAAGACGAGTGGTACCGGTCTTGATCATCATGACCCATGCAAAACGACTTGGCGTGTTCTAGTCTTGGGCCGCAGCAGGGTCTGGACTTGTCGATTCTTGCCCCTTGCCAGTACTGAAGAACCTGGGCTACGATTTTGAGTTTGGGGCTGTGAGTGTAGGCTCTTTGTGTAGACACTGTTTGACTCGGCTTAAGGCTTTGGGTTTAGTGCCTTGGCAACAGCAGAGGTAGACATGCTTCGGCGTACATACACGGCACACATTGCTGTCCTGCGATACTTTTAGTTGCAGCTGCTTTTTGCGCTTCGTCTGCCTCCAATCATAAAGCAAAAATAGTGCCAGCTCAGCCACTGATCTTCTGACTCACGCGAACACCTAAGGCAGCTGCTCACGGTCGGAATCAGAGTCTGCGGCAAATACCGACGAAACAACTTTAAAAACTCATTTCCGAGCGCGTGGCAAGTACATGCTGGCACCATAACCAAATGACGCTTGTCCAGTGGTGCGAACAAGACACTGCAGCGCAATAATCGCAGCAGCCTAAGCTGACAAGTTGTGCTGCGTCTGCTGAGCCCTGATTCGCACGCCACACGCGTTGAGCTTCAAACCATCCGAAAGATACCACCGCTGTAGTAAGACCACTTGCTTCGAAGGCACAGCGGCGGCCTCCAGAGAGCGGCCCGCCTCTTCCGGGCTTAGGGCCATGGGCCTTGAGGGTTTGGAGATCTACTTACGACTCCTCCAGTACTTGTAAAGGCGATTTTTGGGCTTCGTGGTTTAGGGGTTTGCCAGGGTTTGCGGCCTGGGGTGCTTCAGGTTTGGCAAATTTGGGCTTTGTGCACTGTTGTTGTTGGGGATCCAAGTAAACCCTGCGACACGACAAGCCAGTGTCCACATACCCCGTTTGATTAGCTCCTGCTGCGGTTTTCGCCAGAGTAGCTTTAAGACTAATTCTGTCGAGTGTACACTTTAGTGATAACTTGATGATAGACAGGCCAGTTCATACAGAGGCACATCAAAACACCTCAAACACGGACTTTTGAGTAGGAAGTCTCGCATGTCAAGAAAGGCTGGGGCCCTAGGCAGTGCGCGGGTGTCTTCAGGACACTGTGGCAACAACAAGCCGGATGATTTTTTTGTGACCGTGAAAGAAACCCTCCCATGTCCTCTGCAGGGTAACGTGCGCGGCGAGGTCGCGAGTCCGAACTACATGGAACAGGGGCAGAACCTGCAGCTGAGAAAGTCGGTCGGTAACCGTATCTTGATAGCGGCCCAACTTCAACAAAGATGCTTACAATTCCTAGGGCGCTGGTTTCTTCAACTGAACACCAACTGGTTCGGCAGTGCAGACGGCTCTCGTCTACCGTGCGCGAACCCTGAATCCATACGTCGTTTCAAACCTACAGCGCCCCATTCGCGAGAGGCTGCGCAAGTTGCAAAGAGATCTTATATGAATATGCAGCTCGCCAATCAAGGGCAGTCCGAAATTGCACAGCGCCACTCGTCTCACTGAATCCTGTGCCATCATGTTCCACTTCATTTCTTGTCGATTCTTGTTGCAGCACGACATGCTTCTTGAGTTATCCACTGGCATACCGGCATACCTATACTTTCCTCATCCAATCGACTTCCCACACAGGGTCAGCGCACATACTTAAGCGTACAAGTACAGTACCTTCAAGTAGTACGTTTGCACCGAGCCCAAGCACACCACACTTCAAGATATTGGAAAAGCGGCTCATCATAAGGGCGGTGAACCTCAGATGCGGGTGACCGGCATGCAGTGCAAAGCTCTGCAAAGCGGCAAAGGCGAAGGACTCTGTGGGTTTTGTCGGAACAAAGCAACAATTGGGATTCTACGAACTGTGAACGGGAGCAGCCCTGCTGTGACGCAGCCAGGCTGCTCTTGACAATGCGCGAAAGCGCCAGGGAAGCGTGCCTTTGCACCTCCTTCGAGCCCTGGGAACCGCACGGATCTCTGGCGAGCTTGATCTTGCTGGAAGGGGAAGGAGGTGGGAAGGAACTACTTGTAATGCCCGGAGCATAGTCGAAACACTGTCAGCGAAGACTGACCGAATCGCATCTCCTTTGTCATACCCAATTAATGTCTGCGCAAGGTCTCTGGGCCGTCCGTCTGTTCTTTGCATGCGAGTATGACAACCAGCCAGAAACATGAGGTAGCTTGAAACTGTCTTCATGTCTCCATATCTTCAAGATTCTTCTAGGCCGTCAGAAGACGACCGTTTGGAAGAAGCAAAAGCAGGACAGACAAAGACCTTGTTGTGGAGGAATATACGGGGTGTCGCGTGTCCTCACCATGTGCCAAGGTCACCGATGCGGAGGACAAGCGCTGTGACCAAAAACGCCGCGCCACAGTCTGCAAACTCGTAACGAAGTTGCAGCATCTGTGCGGCGGAAATCAATAAACAGACTTCTATATGAGCCTCGAGGATTTTGGAAGCTTGGGTCTCAGTCTCTCTTCACGCACCCAAGAGGGTGGTGTGAGAACGAAACAGTCGAAGCGTGCTGCAGGGCGGGAGACCACCATGCTCGCATACAGCTGTTAAATTGCCACGTTTCTGGCAAGTTCGAAGCTAACTACCTACCAGCGCGGGGCGCACGAGTTGAGGGGTAAGTTGTCTGGCATGTTGTCTTTTTGCTTGTGGCACTTGGGTACTTTGCGGAGCTTGTGGTGATTGCAAATCAAGAGAACTAGAAGTTGGAAGTTGAAAAGGTTATATGATATGTAAACCCCTGTCTGCAGACCCGAAGACAAACAGTTGAGAAGACAAACAAGGACTGCGCAGCTGGAGCATACCAGGACAAGAAGGGCAAAGCAGCCAGGAGCAACGAAACAACATGGAATGCTTCACTGAGTTGAAGTAAGTAGCCGGGCAACTATGGACCTACATACAAACCAGAGAATCGATCACGCTACAGAATGTAACCAACGTGCGCCAGCCGGTCAGACATGAGAGATAAACCTTGAACCGGGCTGGAGTGAATCTCCGGGCATCTTTGCCGGATACCATCGAGAGCGGCTAGTCACTAGTCGTCTCAAAGAAGACATGGCAGAGCAAACAGTCTGGACTGCACGTCTGGGCCGTCTAGGTCTAGGTTCCTGGAAAGCACTGGCAGGTGTTGTCGTACACATCGAACGCATCTGCTCTGCGATGTTTTGCTCTCGAGGCTATGCAGCTCCATCTGCTCAGGCAAAGCTTGCTGACGTAAGCTCGGAAGTCCGCATTGACGAATTCGAAAATTTGGCGAGCGTGTCCTTGTCCAGATGGGCTGATCCAGTGACCTCTAATTGTTCTGTCATGCCAAGCCATGCCTTCTTTCGGCATGGTGCAGGTCTGATCCACATGGTGTATCTAGGCACGGCCCAGTTATGAGAGAAGCTTGGACTGAAATCTGTCGTTCCTGGCTCTCAAAGACGAATGCCTAGAGCTGCCATCCATTCACCCTAAACCTGTGGACAAGACAAAAACTCATGCACAAAAATCACAAATTCTTGGCTGCTGGCTTTATGAGTAGCAGGCGATTGCCGAGACGTTTGTCCGAGATCGCAATTGCCCTACTACTTCGCAATTTGTCTTCAGAGCTCGCGAACTGGCCGCAGAAGACCGTTGCTTCTGCGCATGGAACTGGAGAGTGCCGAGGTTAAGGTATTGCGACTTGGAAATGGACACCTTGGACGTATCTGAAACAATCTCAAGCTGCAGCGTGGGAGCTAAATACTACAACCATGAACGCAAGCC